CACGCCTGTAATCTCAACACTTTGGGAGGCTGAGGCCGGTGGATCACCTGAGGTTGGGAGTTCGAGACCAGTCTGACCAACATGGAGGAACCCCATTTCTACTAAAAATACAAAATTAGCCAGTTGTGGTGGCACGCGCCTGTAATCCCAGCTACTCGGGAGGCTGAGACAGGAAAATCACTTGAACCCGGGAGGCGTTAAGTTGCGGTGAGCCAAGATCCTGCCATTGCATGCCAGCCTGGGCAACAAGAGCGAAACTCCATCTCAAAAAAAAAAAAAAAGAAAGGGAAAGACTCCACTGGAGCTCCCACTAAATAACCCTCTCTCAACCCGAAGTCTTCCTTTCTGACTGGATCCAACTTTGTCTTCCAGAACCAGGCGAGGAGGGGCCAACTGCAGGTGAGGGGTTCGATAAAGTCAGGGAAGCAGAAGATAGCCCCCAACACATGTGACTGCGGGGATGGTCAACAAGAAAGGAATGGTGGCCGGGCGCGGTGGCTCAAGCCTGTAATCCCAGCACTTTGGGAGGCCGAGATGGGTGGATCACGAGGTCAGGAGATCGACACCATCCTGGCTAACACAGTGAAACCCCATCTCTACCAAAAAAAAATACAAAAAACTAGCCGGGCGACGTGGCGGGCGCCTGTAGTCCCAGCTACTCGGGAGGCTGAGGCAGGAGAATGGTGTAAACCCGGGAGGCGGAGCTTGCAGTGAGCTGAGATCCGGCCACTGCACTCCAGCCTGGGCAACAGAGCCAGACTCCATCTCAAAAAAAAAAAAAAAAAAAAAAGAAAGGAATGGTGAGTGGTGGGGGCTGTGCTCTCAATTTTCCCTGTCTCCCTACAGGCTCTGTGGGAGGATCAGGGCCAGGAACTCTAGCCCTGGCCCTGGGGATCCTGGGAGGCCTGGGGACAGCCGCTCTGCTCATTGGGGTCATCTTGTGGCAAAGGCGGCGACGCCAAGGAGAGGAGAGGTGAGTGGAGAAAGCCAGACTCCTCAGACCTAGGGCTTCCAGGCAGCAAGTGAAGAGGGGTGGGGGGGTGGAACGACAATGTGCAGCATTCTCCACAATCTTCCTCCTCAGGAAGGCCTCAGAAAACCAGGAGGAAGAGGAGGAGCGTGCAGAGCTGAATCAGTCGGAGGAACCTGAGGCAGGCGAGAGTGGTACTGGAGGGCCTTGAGGGGCCCACAGAGAGATCCCATCCATCAGCTCCCTTTTCTTTTTCCCTTGAACTGTTCTGGCCCCAGACCAACTCTCTCCTGTATAACCCCACCTTGCCAAACTTTCTTCTACAACCAGAGCCCCCCACAATGATGAGTAAACACCTGACACATCTTGCTCTCGTGTGTCTGTGTATATGTGTGTGAGACACAACCTCACCCCTACACCCTTGAGGGCCCTGAAGGAAAGGGACTCACCCCCACACTTCCCCCACACTGCACCAAACATCTACTCAAGTTGGGGAGAAGATGCTTCTGTCAAGAGAGGGAGGGAGGAAGGTGGGGGGCAAACTTGGGAAGAGATCCCATCAACACATTTCACCTTTTTTATTGAATTTGTATTAAAGGAGGTAGTAAGGGGGAGGAAGCACTTAAGAGTCAGAACCCATATTAGACTCTGGGGAGTGAAAAATTAAATTAAATCAATAAGATGGGAGTGGGGGAAGAGTCAGAGGGAGCTCTGCCCCCCTTTCAAGATCAAATCAAGAAATCAGGGAAAGCAAAGACTTAGAAGAGAAGAAAGACATTCTCTCAATCCATCCTCCTTCCCCAGGGCAGAGAATTATAATGTTACTGAGTGAGCTTCTGAGCAGAAGGCTCTCCCATCTATGCACAGACTTCACTCCTCCTCCCCAAGCTTTCCTGGAGAATGTCCAGGGCTGGCCTTAGCCAACAGAAATAGAGAGGTCAAGGGGATCCATGAGTAAGGAAGGGTCAGCAGGGACCCCCAATACTGATTCTCCTCTGGCTGGAGGTGGGCAGGAAGGAGACATAGCTCAAATACTGAGCAGCCAAAAAAAGAAGAAGATGGCGAGAAACAGGAAGAGGGAATCCTGCCAGCTGGAGGCCGGGTGACCCTGTCCCAGATCCACACCTGTGGGAGAGAGGAAAGCTGTGGAAGCATATGCTTCTAGGCTGGGAGGGGGCCTGAGGGGATTCACAGGGCTCCCTGATGGGAGCTGAATGTGACTCTTACCTGTACCCCGGCGGAAAGGCTCATGGGCATTGAAGACGGTGGTGAAAAAGCCAAAGGGAAAAGCACCAACACCAAATGAGAAGTGGAAGCCCCCAGTATCACCAAATGGCTGGAATGCCTAGGGAGGTAGAAAAAGTCAGATGGGAAGCCGGAAAACCTGTCAAGGAAGGGACACAACTGGACAGGAAGACTCACCCCTCTGCTCTCTGGAGCTGGTCTCTGGCCCTGGGGGCGGGGTGGAGTTTTTAATCTGAGGAAGAGGAGAGAGAAAGTTAACAGAGAATTTTCTCCTGTCATCTTCCACACCGTTTTCCAAGGGCAGAAGCCTTCAATCTTCCCTGAGCAACACCTCCAGTCTCTCACCTGGGATCCTGGGGCTTTTGGCTCCCTCGCCCATAAAGCGGGACAACCTTCTCTCTGCTGATCCCAGCTTTACATACTGGACACTCTTGCCGCTCTGGCCTTGTCTCCAGCCACTGGGGAGAAAAAAAGTGGTTTCCAGTATACAAGAGGGTCTTCCAGCTCCTCAGACCTCCCCATTTCCCTCTTCATCTCCCGAGTACGCACCTGATGAAGACATGGCCAACTGGATGGGGGAGGAAAAAAAAAAGTCAAACTAGCTACAGAAAAGAGAGACACAGACCCCCAGACTTCACAGAATCCCATCTCACTCCTCTTTCCAGGCAACCTGCTGTTGCTTTTCAGATTTTCTGCAACCTCTACCATGCCAGCCAACTTGGCCTTCCTGCTTGTCTGATCTTCCAACATCTAAAGCTCTGTCCATCCTCAACACACTCAACCCTCTCCTTTCTCCTCTCCCCAACAAACACGTACAAATTTTCGTGCCCTCTCTTTTCTGCCTTTCAAGTTAATTTCTAATTCCCTTTAGCCACCTCTTTCCGGGTTTCCGCTTTTCAACCCCAACCCCATCACTCCAAACCAAACCCCTTTACTAGCACATTCTCCCATTACTCCTTTTCCTCACTTTCAAGCTCAATAATGTCCCTGTCTTTACGACCCTTTAACCTTTCAAGTCTGCCTCTCCACAGTGCCTTCGTACCAGCCCCCTCCCAGATCTCATCTGAATGTGATCCATATTTCCTGGTTCTCCCCGACTCAACTGATGCGTGCCTCCCCTTAACCTTTGTGTCTCATCTGTTTCCACCTGCACAGCTAAGACCCGTCGCTTCTCTGGGGTAAGGTGGCTCGGGTCTCACATTGTCCCGCCACTCCCCGCCCCACCTCCTCTTCTCAGCACATCACATGCCCCCGCTCCTGGTTCCTAAGACTTTTCTTTCCACAGATCTCGACCGTAGAGACATTATACTCCCACCCACACATACCAGCAAAGTCGTATGTCTCCTGTCGGGCCTCACCTATGGGAACGTGCCCTCCGATTATCTGTATGACTGTATGATTATTCGCTCCTAGCCTCCCCAGTATATAAGCGAGACCCACCGCCTTCCGCCCCTCTCCTCGATTCTCACCAGTACAGGTGGCCACACACACTGACCACAGCTTCCCGAGCAGTCTCCAAACATATATTACATTCGAAGGTCGCGCCCGCCCCGCCCCGCTCGCGATTTGGCCCTTCGGGGCCCCCGTCCTCCTCCTCCGCTGCTGCCATGGCCGGTTTTGTTTCGCCCCACGTACCCTTCAGTCCCCCCAAATACACATACACACGCCCCAACAAACCAGAAACCACCTCCTGCCCAGGATCGTTGGGCAGGCGTGAAGGTTTCCTAATCACTATTGGTCTGAATGCCTGCCAATCACAAAGAATTCAAAAGAAAGGATTGGCCCAAAGAGTAGGGGCGGGAAAAGGTTCGTGTGGTCCTGCCTTCGCACAATGGCTATTGGCTGATACGGCCTAAGTCAATGTGCAATGCCAAGGGATTGGTAATAACTCGCTACACCCTGTCGCCTGGCCGCGGAGGGCTTTATTCGTCTGAGTAGTTGTCAGTCATAACCAAAGCCAGAAGCAATTTGCTCGGGACTACCTATAGACCTCGCCCACTATAAGCCCCTTTCTTTCCTTCGCTTCCTCTTTCTGAGAATGTCCGGATTGCTATTGGACTTTGGAGCGTATGGTTCCAAAGCAACTCATTGGCTAGAACTTGACGGAAAATGGTGGTTAGGTAAAACGCGCCTGCGCAGCACGCGGCGGGACGGGGGTGGGCCAATCGCGTGAGGGTTGAACCTTATCTTGTTCCACCTCTTCACCCCTATCTTGTCGCTATGGTGACTGCTCTACAATTGGCGAGGCTTGCAGTTCAAAGTCCTCGGCTCGCTTCATCCGGGTCCTTCAGCTGTGGACTTTCTGCTGATTGGGCCTTTTCCTTTTCCCCTGATTGGCCGACATCGGGAAAGACGGCGAAGAGCTAGGGAAAGAGGGAAAACACTAGGGTCGCAGGGTTCAAAATGGCTCCAACCTCCTGTGGTGACGTAGAGAGCAGAACTTGGGTCTGCCCCTCGCTTTTAGTTAAGGGAGCAGAACTGGGATTAGCCCGACGTTTGGATAGTACGAACATCGATCTGCGGAGCTGGTGTTAACTCATTCGGCTGGACGACTCAGCCCTCCCCACTTTAGGTGATTTACAGAGCAAAACTGAACTAAAGGCCCACTCCTTTCTTAATGTTGTACACAGAGTAGAACAGGATTGACTTAAACTCCGTTTTAAACCTTCAGAGCAGAAAAGCTCTGGGCTCACCCTCTTTGTGACTGGTGCAGAAGGGGCACGGCCCGCCCCTTTTAAGGAGACCCACGGGGGGTCTCCTTAAGACCCGCCCTTTCCTCCTTATAATTTGCCCATCAGAAATAGGGTCTTCCTCCAGGGTTGGACCCCGGAGAGTTTGGGCCTTTCCTACAATCATTGACCCTCACTGTGTCCAAAGGAGCAGAACTAGGTAACAGTCTTCCCACTACCAATCCTCTTCCCGAGGGCATGTAAACTCATGCAGGGTAAAGGTGTGGCTAGAGGCGGGACCTTGATAAAAGATCCCATGTGACTCAAAAGTAAGGAAAGATGAGAAGTTAGCAGTTGCGTAAAGAAGGACTGGGGCAGATGAGGATTCAGGAAACTGGAGGTTTAAGATATTGAGAGGGAAAGGTGGAAATGAAGGAGAGTGAAGTGATGGAATGATCCTAGTAAAGTGATAATGGGAGTGGAGGAAGAGAAGAGGGGGTGGAAAACTAGATACATGGCTACCAAATTAAGGAGGCATCCTCATCCAGAGGAATCGGCATTCTTCCTCACTTTGTCTTTTTCTAGAAAGCACTCCTGACGCCCAATTTCCATTGGAAGAAAAGATGTACCCATATTGTATGTTGTGAGAAGGGGTTGTCTCAGCTTGGGGAAGTAAGGAGACTGATAGGAAGGAAGTAGGAAAGAAAAAGTACAGAAGGAAAAGAGCATGGAAAAGGAAAGGTTCAGGGATGAGGCCAAAGAGATCTCTTTAAAGGTCAGAGAAGGCAGGTGGAGGGGGGAGCTGGACAGCTGGGAGATAGTGAGGGACAAAGGGCAAAGGAAACCAGACCAGAGGACTGGAGAGTGAGATGGGGTGAGATGGAGTCCTGGAGAGAAAAATAAGAGAGGTGAACTTAATGCTTGTCATATGGTAGGTAGGTGTTTGATAAATGCTTAGAATTGAAAGGGGAACGGGAAGAGGGGTCCTTAAGAATAGTTGCGGGGAATAAGCAGCAGATAACCGGAGTTGAGAAAAAAAGAGACCAAGTAAAAGTGGCAGTTAAAAGAGAGCTGACGGAGAATAAAGGAAGGAATGTGCCGAAGGAGAAATATAGCACCAGGGGATCCAGAACTCAAAGGGAGTTAGAGAATAAAAAGATGCAGCTGGAGCCAGAGATGGGAGCAAAGGCAGAGGGAGGGCCCGCCTGAGCCCTCCTGGGGCGGGGCTCCCAAGAGTACACTGGTAGACGTGGGGAGGAGATGCCTGAGTTTCTGGGAGACGATTGGCAAAACAGGCTGCCCATCACCGCCCTCCACTTCCTGGCCGGCCCCGGAAACCAGCAGGCGTTGGGGAGGGGTGGGGGGGGAATAGCGGCAGCAGAAGCCCCAGCCCTCAGAAAGACAGCAGAAAGGGAGGGAGGGAGGGAGGGTGCTGGGGGGACAACCCCCCACCATTCCTACCGCTATGGGCCCAACCTCCCACTCCCACCTCCCCTCCATCGGCCGGGGCTAGGACACCCCCAAATCCCGTCGCCCCCTTGGCACCGACACCCCGACAGAGGCAGAGACACAGCCATCCGCCACCACCGCTGCCGCAGCCTGGCTGGGGAGGGGGCCAGCCCCCCAGGCCCCCCACCCCACTGAGGTGTGGGCGGGAAAGGGATGGGAGGAGGAGGGAAGAGGGTGCTGAAAGCGACTAGGATGAGGGGAAGGGGAGAGATTGGGTCTGGGAGGGCCGACTGGGGGAGATGGTTGCTGGGGAAAGGAGAGGGGCTGACTGGGAAGAGGGTTGCTGGGGATAGGAGAGGGGACCTGAGAGGGAGGAAGGATGGAAGAGACACGGGAGGGGGAGAAATGGAAACCCTTGTGAATTTGGGACTGGGAGTGTGCACAGGGAATCCTGGAGAGGGAATTCCCTACACCTTCCCCAATTCCTTTTCTTGCCCTTTGACCCCACATGACTCTTGCGGGGGTCATGAGGGGAGGCGGCCAGCAGAATTTGCCTCTTAGGAATATACCCTTAGGCCCCTCTGTTTCCATCTAGGCACAGGACCTCTTGTTTCTCAGTGGCCTTCCACACTGCTGGACCCTTACACACAAATGCCTTATGGGAGCCATGTTTTCTACATTGAGTCTGTGTGCCTTTGACATGTTTAATGGCTTGTGTGCAACTAGGTTGTCCCAATGCTCTCCATAGGCTGTGTAGAAATGGTGTGTTATTTTCCATCAGAATTGCCCATTCTCCGTTCTTGTGTCCACGTCTCACATCCAGTTTTGACATGTTCAAGTACCGCATGTGTGTGAGTTTTCTTATATTGCACCTGTTTTATAGTTTCCTGTTACTCGCACGTTTTATGTTTTGGCATGTTTATTTCAGCATGTGAAGGTTATATACCTTATTTTACTTTGGCTGACATGTCTGTGGTCCTACCATTTGCAGTAGTCTTCATGTGTGGGATCCCATGGCTTGGCTGAATAGCCTACACACTCATGTCTGACTCAGTTGGCCCGTTTGCTGTGTTTTCCCAGTCACAGTTCACAGAACACATGTGTATGCCCCTTTGCACAATACACTGATGTAACAGGACCATAGAATGTGTGTTATAAATTTATCATCAGTGTATTTTATGAACCGTACGCTCATTAAATTTGGCCCTCCATTGCATTTCTAAATCCTTGGACTTTTGTTCTCTGAAGAGGGTCACTTAATATCAAGTGTTAGAGAAGAAGGTAACTGGGTCTCCAGGTCTGCAAAGAACCATCCCTGCATGCCTTACCTTGGTGACCTCCCTGGCCCATACCTCTCTACACAAACATTATCTTTCCAGTGACTGTGTACAGTCTGTGTCCATGAGATCAATGCATGTCACAGGGTCAATCCTGCTGTGAACCCCATCGTTGGTATTTATGGACGTTATCTTCCATTCTTTTCACTGTTGGCACACATTTGATGAGAGCAGCATCTTTCCCTGTGGCATGTTAATCCCATTCTGTGCATTTCTCTTGTGACATGACCTCTTCTTGATTATTGTTACTCTGCCTTCATTATGGCCATGTATTGCATGTATCTATTCAGAGTCGGTTACCATTAGGCTTCATGTGTTCGTTACTTTCTCAGTGACTTTTCTTTTAGTAGTCAGTACTACTCAAGAGGGTAACTATCTAATTTGTGATCAGAACTGCCATCTCTGTCATTATTTGTGGCTCTGTGGGTGTGTATATAGCCTTAGAATCTGTTCAGCAAGTGTTTGTTGAGCACCTACTCCATCTCCTATTGTCCTGGTATTGGAGATAAGACAGAGTCCCTGTCCTTAAGCTGCTTACAGCCTAAGGAGGGAAACAAAAATGCCAGTCAACACATAGTGTGTTGTCAAGATCAGTGGTTCTTAAATTCAAGCGCACATCAGACTCACCAGAGGGCTTGTTAAAATACAGATTGCTAACCAGCCACGATGGCTCACACCTGTAATCCCAACAGTTTGGAAGGCTGAGGCAGGAGGATCACCTGAGCCCAGAAGTTCAAAACCAGTCTGAGTGAGAAAAAGAAAAATAGATTGCTGGACCTAATGCCCAGAATTTCTGATTCAGTAGATCTGGGGTGAAGTCTAATAATTTGCATTTCTACACTTCAAGACCCACTGGTCAAGATAAAAGTGTAATGAAAGCACAGGCCTGGAGGGGTTCAGGCAGCCCTCCGAAAGGTGACACTGAGCTGTGTGAGGCAGGAAAAGATCCGGGCATTCCAGCCAAAGGGAACAGCATGTTCAAGGTGCGGAAGCATGAAAGATCATGGTGTCTGAGGAACTGAAGTGAATCAGTTTGACTGGAACAAAAAGAGTTTTGTGAGGATGTGGTCGAAGATGTAAGCAGAAGTCAACTTGTCAAGAAGAACCTTTAGGCAAGACAGGGAAATGCTCTGCGTTTCAGAAAAATTTGTATTAACAGAAAAATCTCTGTGGTTGCTACGTGGAAGATGGATTGGAGGGGGTTAGGAGCCTACTCCACATAGTTCAGGGGAGAAATGATGCTGTTCTGAACTTGTAGGGGCAGTGGGATGGAGCAGCTCAGAAAGCCTACAGTATTCCAACTGACAGGGTCTCCTGTTTCCTCTATTGCCTGTTACCTTCTTGCTTGGCAATAGGCTTACCTTTGAGCATAGCCCTTCCCGTCATGGGAAGACAGTGCCTGTGGCCTCAGTAGGAATGACAGGTATTTGCCTGTACACCCTTTTTGTGAATTGTTACCCTGCCCCCAACAGTGGGGCAGAGTGGAGGAAGGAGGAAGAACCTAGAACACAGGTTCTGTGTCCTGCCCCTCTTCCTCTTGAGCCCTTTCCTCTCCCAGGGCAAGTGCTGTTATGTCCCCTTTACTCCCTGCCCTCCATTTTTCACTTGGTGAGGCCTTACACACTGTACCTGCCCACGCAGTGTCACTAGAAGGAAGGGAAAGGGTGGTTGGATTCATTTGCCTGTGTGGAGGTAGGATTGGTCTTTGTAACTATTCCAGGTATGTCCATAAGTCTACCTAGGAATGGGGGAGCTGCCTGGGTGGAGAGGGATTTTTCTAGTTACTAGTTACGCATTCACATTATTTTATCTGTCACTGGGTGTAATTATAAATTTGTGTCTGTGTGTGAACGTGTTAGTCTTTGTATGACTGTGTGTTGGCATTAGTGACATGAACTTTTAATCTTGCCATTTGGCCCCTGGGTATATGGCTGTGGGTGTTCTGTCACAGTCACCATATATGCTGTGTGCTGTGTTCGTATATGTATATGCAGTACATACCAGTGTCAGCATAACCGAGTGGTTAGGAACACAGGCGGCTTAGATTTAACTCAGGAGCTGTATGATCTCAGGTAAGTTATTTAGCCTTTCTGGGCCTATTTCCTATAAAATGTAAATAATAATAGTACTTTCTAGACTATTGTATGGGTCATTTTAAGAGTTTAACTTAATATATAGACCAGTGCTGTTCTACAGAAATATAATGCAAGCCACATACGTAATTTTTTTATGGTAGCCACATTTTTACAAGGCAAAAAGTGAAATTAATTTTAGTAATATATTTTCTTGAATCTGATACATCTAAAAGATTATAATTTCTTTTCTCTCTCTTTTTTTTTTTTTTTTTTTTTAAGACAGAGTCTTACTCTGTTGCCCAGGCTGGAGTGCAGTGGTGTGATCTGGGCTCACTGCAACCTCCACCTCCTGGGTTCAAGCAATTCTCCTGCCTCAGCCTCCCAAGTAGCTGGGATTACAGGCATGTGCCAACAGGCCCGGCTAATTTTTGTATTTTTAGTAGAGACGGGGTTTCACCATGTTGTTCAGGCTGGTCCTGAACTCCTGACCTTGTGATCCACCCGCCTCGGCCTCCCAAAGTGCTGGGATTACAGGCGTGAGCCACCGCGCCTGGCCCAAGATTATAATTTCAAAATGTAGTCAGTATAAAAGATTAATAATGGGATATGTTACATTTTGTTTTTTATTCAGTCTTTGAAATATGATGTGTATTTTACATTTCCAGCACACCTCAGTTCAGACTAGCTGCATTTCAAGTGCTCAGTAGCCACATGTAGGTGGTGGCTACTTTCTTGGACGGCACAAGTATAGACCATTATAAGACCCTTACCAGCTACAAGTGTTACTATCATTCTTATTGTCATTTATTGTCAGGTATCTGTGAGGTGTAGATGTCCATGTCTTGTGTCTCTTGTCTGAATATATCTGGAGCCTTCGGGAAGAGGAATGGGAGAGCAGTCTTGAGCTCTATCTCCACCACCCTCATCCTAGAGAGGCTTCCTGGGAAGGTTTCAATGGGAACCCTGCCCCAGCTTGTTTCTCTGGCCCTTGTCCTCATAGCACCAGTCCCCAACCCTGCCTTCTGTGCCTTGCCTACCCCACTGGCCTCCAGAAACCAGGCTGATTGTCTCTTGCCCCATCCCCTGCAGGTGGCCAGAATGGAGTTGTGGCCAGGGGCATGGATGCTGCTGCTGCTGCTCTTCCTGCTGCTGCTCTTCCTGCTGCCCACCCTGTGGTTCTGCAGCCCCAGTGCCAAGTACTTCTTCAAGATGGCCTTCTACAATGGCTGGATCCTCTTCCTGGCTGTGCTCGCCATCCCTGTGTGTGCCGTGCGAGGACGCAACGTTGAGAACATGAAGTGAGGGGCAAGGGGTCTTGGGCAATGAGGGAACCTAAGGGTACAAAGCGAGTAGTGGATTGGGGGAAGGGGGCATGGTGTGTGTAGAAAAGACTGAGAGAGACCAGAGACAGGGAATGGGGAGAGGACTGCAAAGGTGGTCAGAAAGACAATAGGGTTGGGGGGAGCTGAGGCATGCAGATGGACATCAATGGATCCCACTGGGACCCCTTGCCGTGACCCCACAGGATCTTGCGTCTAATGCTGCTCCACATCAAATACCTGTACGGGATCCGAGTGGAGGTGCGAGGGGCTCACCACTTCCCTCCCTCACAGCCCTATGTTGTTGTCTCCAACCACCAGAGCTCCCTCGATCTGCTTGGTGAGACCCCACCACAGGGCACACCTCCCCCAGTCATGCCTCCCCTCCTGGAACCTTCCCTAGAATATCTTCTCCTTGAGATCCTTAATTCTCCTTCCTCTGGGACATTGCCCCCTTGCCTCCCGCTCAGGCCTTCATTCCCTGGGTAGAACTGCCCTCATAAGCCGGGTACATACACCTTTGGTCACCCTTTCCTTCACTTGGGGCTCCCCCTGCCTAGTCTCCTCCTTCACCTCCAGTCCCTACCAGAGTGGGTGATGATCTGGGTGAGGTGGGTTGCTTTCTGTGACACTGCCTCCACCCCAATCCTCACCCACCCCCACCCTGCCCAAGGGATGATGGAAGTGCTGCCAGGCCGCTGTGTGCCCATTGCCAAGCGTGAGCTACTGTGGGCTGGCTCTGCCGGGCTGGCCTGCTGGCTGGCAGGAGTCATCTTCATCGACCGGAAGCGCACGGGGGATGCCATCAGTGTCATGTCTGAGGTCGCCCAGACCCTGCTCACCCAGGACGTGAGTCATCCTGGGGAAATGGGGGATTGGAGGGATAGAAAGTAGAATAGTTGTAAATAAACTGATATGCAGGGCCAGTGGGCCTCAGAGGTCCCATTATAACATCACGCCTACTCTGACTCCTCCATATGTGTTTGTCTTCCTTGACTTTCTTTCTCCCCCAGGTGAGGGTCTGGGTGTTTCCTGAGGGAACGAGAAACCACAACGGCTCCATGCTGCCCTTCAAACGTGGCGCCTTCCATCTTGCAGTGCAGGCCCAGGTGACTACTGCTCCCTGTTCTGCTGCTCAGCTGCCCACCCCCACCATTCCCTCATCTCTGGGCAGGGGCTTATTGTAGGAGTCTCAGAAGAGAGCTGTGGACTGACCTGCTTTACCCCTTCCCCAGGTTCCCATTGTCCCCATAGTCATGTCCTCCTACCAAGACTTCTACTGCAAGAAGGAGCGCCGCTTCACCTCGGGTGAGGGCTTTGAGCAGTTCTGGGGTCGGGTGTGTCCAGAGAGGCTGGGAGGACATCCCTGTGAGGCAGGGGGATCATTCAGTGTCAGAGCCATGAGATGTCCACACGGTCATCTAGTTTAACCCACAGCAGCCAATAAGTCTTTACCAAGCACCACCATACCCTGCCAGGTGGGTAGCACTTGGTCCCACCAAGAGAGGCTGTTACTAATCTAGCAGGAAAGATAAGGCCTGTGTGCACAAAGCTGTAATGAATAACACTCATTCAGCAGTAAATGCCAAACCCAGAGGAGGGGGGCTGGAGGAGTGCTGAGATGTCTGGACTGGGAATTGGAGAAGGCTTTGTTTAGAAGGGCCTCAGAAGTGGCAGCTGGCAAGCCCAGGGATGGTTGTCCAGGGTTGGGGGAAGAGAACTGAAAGGTTGAGGAAGAGTATCCCTCAGAAGCTGGGCCCCACCTGTGGGCAAAGACCTGGGTGGACAGGCCATGATGGTGCTCCCCTTGCCCCAGGACAATGTCAGGTGCGGGTGCTGCCCCCAGTGCCCACAGAAGGGCTGACACCAGATGACGTCCCAGCTCTGGCTGACAGAGTCCGGCACTCCATGCTCACTGTTTTCCGGGAAATCTCCACCGATGGCCGGGGTGGTGGTGACTATCTGAAGAAGCCTGGCGGGGGTGGGTGAACCCTGGCTCTGAGCTCTCCTCCCATCTGTCCCCATCTTCTTCCCCACACCTACCCACCCAGTGGGCCCTGAAGCAGGGCCAAACCTTCTTCCTTGTCTCCCCTCTCCCCACTTATTCTCCTCTTTGGAATCTTCAACTTCTGAAGTGAATGTGGATACAGCGCCACTCCTGCCCCCTCTTGGCCCCATCCATGGACTCCTGCCTCCGTGCAGTCTCCACTCTTGACTCCCACCTCCTACTGTTTTGTCTGTGGGACAGTTGCCTCCCCCTCATCTCCAGTGACTCAGCCTACACAAGGGTGGGGAACATTCCATCCCCAGTGGAGTCTCTTCCTGTGTGGTCTTCTCTCCCCCTCTACTCCACATTGGCCAGTGGACTCATCCATTCTGTGGAACAATTCTCCCCCACCCCAAAGTCCATGGATTCAATGGACTCATCCATGTGAGGAGGACTTCTCGCCCTGTGGCTGGAAGCTGATACCTGGAGCAGTCCTCCCAGGCTCATCCTGGGAGCTTTCCTCAGCACCTTCACCTTCCCTCCCAGTGTAGCCTCCCGTCAGTGGGGGCTGGACCCTTCTAATTCAGAGGTCTCATGCCTGCCCTTGCCCAGATGCCCAGGGTTGTGTACTCTCTGGGATACCAGTTCAGTCTCCACATTTCTGGTTTTCTTTGTCCCCATGGTACAGTTCTTCAGTGGACCTGACCCCACTCAGCCCCCTGCAGCCCTGCTGCACCATTTCACCAGACACAAGGGGAAGAAGCAGACATCGGGTGCTGCGCTCACTTCTGCCCCCTGGGGAGTTGGGGAAAGGAACAAACCCTGGCTGGAGGGGATAGGAGGGCTTTTAATTTATTTCTTTTTCTGTTGAGGCTTCCCCCTCTCTGAGCCAGTTTTCATTTCTTCCCGGTGGCATTAGCCATTCCCTGCCTCTCGCTCCAGACCTGTTCCCACAACTGGGGAGGTAGGCTGGGAGCAAAAGGAGAGGGTGGGACCCAGTTTTGCGTGGTTGGTTTTTATTAATTATCTGGATAACAGCAAAAAACTGAAAATAAAGAGAGAGAGAGAAAGATCTGGGTGCTTGGTGGTTGCATTTGTTAAGGAATCGAAGAAGCAGTTCTTGCCCAGGCAACCTGCCCCCAGCCAGAAGACTCAGGGGTGGGCCCAGAACACAGGCCTCCCCCTTTCTTCAGCTCTCTGAAGTTTCCATTGTTCATTGCTCTTTGGTGGTTGATAGCCTTATCTGCAGCTCACAGTCGGCCAATCCCAGAGGATTAGTGGGTCTGGCTTCTGTATAAATTAGGGGTGCTGTAGAGGCTTCTTATCGATGACTGAGGCCAGGGCCCAGGCTGTTGTCCTCACAGGAGCCTGGTTAATGACATGGCAGACACAGTGGCTGTGGTCAGCCTGGAGTGGACTACACTGCCACTCTCACCAAACAGTAAGTGAAACTATTGGGCTGGGGACAGGATTTCAGAAGAGAACGATGGTGAAGTGGAGAAGCATGAGGACAGTGAATGTTGGAGAGGGGGCTTGGAGAAAAGAGGGCGTGCTTGAATGGGGAGGGGTCTTGGGGAAGGTTGGGGAATAGAAGTCAAGGCGGGAGGAGCGTGAGGACTCACAGGCACCTAGCCTCTCCTCCAGCAGCAGCACCTGGTCGCTGAGAGATTCGATCCGGTCACCCCGGCCCCACAGCTCAGCCACCTGTTCTGGCTGCAGCTCTTCAGGCGGCATGGGCAGCACCGCTCGGACCCAGGCCCCAGCCTGACTGGCCCACTACAAAGGAAGAGATGCCTCAGGGTATGGATAGTGACGTCTGGCCTCGCCCCACCCAGCAGGCTTAGCTTACCTGCTCCAGCCGCTCCAGGCGCCCTCGCAGCTCGCGAATCTCCCGCTTCAGAGCGCGCTCGTCTTTTTCCGCCTCCCGAACTAGGGACAAAGAAGACCAAGAACATAACCACTGCCAAGCCTGGACGCCTGTCCCGGGTTCCCCCGGTGGCCTGTATTCCTGCCCGCTCACCGGCCACGCTGAGTATGCTGGCACTGGTTGGGGGTTCTGGGGACCCCTCCGTGCAGGTGCGCCCGTCCAGGCCTAGCACTAGGTCGTGCGGGCAGCCGCAGGTGAAGCTGCCTGCGGTGTTAAGACAACGGTGCGAGCAGAGGGTGATGCCGGTCCTACATTCATCCACGTCTAGTTACCGAAAAGAGGAAGGGGCTGAGAGAGGGGGCGGGGGAAAGCGCCTGGGTAGGTGGGGAGGACAAGCTGACTCACCCACATGACAGTGCTTCCCTCCCCAGCCGGGGGCGCACTCGCACTGGTCAGGCCTAACGCAGACGCCTCCGTTCTGGCACGGCTTGGCGCAGATGGCTGCAGACAGAGAAGTGGGGTTCAGTCTGTAACCGATGACCCAGCTCCCCAGCTCCGTGGGGCGCGCCTCCCCGCAAGGCCTGGAAGACTCAGCCTCACCTTCACAGGTGAGTGCCCCCGGGTGCCGCTTCTTCCAGCCCTGGCAGCACACTGCATGGGTCTGCTGCACCTCCCGCCTCACCTCCCGCCACGTAACGCGGTACGTGGTCCTGGAACACAGCGCCTGGCTCAGGACCCTGAGTACGGGTCCTGGTCGGGGTTCTTGGGGTCCCATCTCCCCATCCCTCACCTGTAAGTGCTGCAGATGCGCCTCCCAGCGCACAAGGTCAGGTAGGGCTTGTACACTGGTTGGCTGTAGGACTCGTTATAGCGGAGCGGGACCACCAGTGTCTGCTTGGAGCAGACTCCCTGACTGCGTCCATGCCAGAGGATGAGGTGGGAGAGATTGAGTAGGCCAGGCCCTGGGGAGCCAGGAGTCCCACTTCCCTCAAGAGGCTACTGAGGCCCCGCTCCCCCTCCAGATGACAGCCTCTCACCCCCATTCTAAACTTTCAGTTAAGTTTTGCCTCCTGTCAAGCCCCATCCCCAACAGAAGGCTCCCGAGAAGAGCTCACCCGGGTCCCACCCCCTCTGTTGTCACCTCTCTCTGAGGAATCCACCCTTGGCCCCCTCGCCTGATATCAGTAGCAGGAGGAAGAAGAATCCGCCTAAGAGAGTCCACAGCTCAGCCCTGGACCCCATGATTCTCTTTGACGCTGGACCCTACAGGCTGCAGGCAAGAAAAGGTTAATGGATGTCCGTCCTCTCTCCTATTAATTTCTCCAGCACTAGTCCCTCCAAGGGCACTCTGCAGGTGCCCTCTAAGGGAGTCAGGACATTCACTGTTACATATTAGCCACCAGAATTGCTTACACCTGTGTGTACAACCCAGCGCTATCCTATCCTTAGCATATCATGATCCATTCAGCATCATAAAAGCTCACATCCCAGCACACTCCCTCCACCTCCCCTCTAACCTACTTCTCATCCCCTCTGCACAACCTGGAGGGACACACAGTCAACCCTCCCCTTATGACCCTCCTTTTTTTTTTTTTTTTTTTAAGGAGTTTCACTCTTAGTGCCCAGGCTGGAGTGCAATGGCACGATCTCGGCTCACCGCAACCTCTGCCTCCCAGGTTCAAGTGATTCACCTGCCTCAGCCTCCCAAGTATCTGGGTTTACAGGCATGCACCACCACGCCTGGCTAATTTTTTGTTTTGTTTTGTTTTGTTTTTTGAGACAGGTCTTGCTCTGTCGCCCAGGCTGGAGGGCAGTGGCATGATCTAGGCTCACTGCAAGCTCCACCTCCTGCGTTTATGCCACTCTCCTGCCTCAGCCTCCCGAGTAGCTGGGACTACAGGTGCCTGCCACCGCGCCCGGCTTTTTTTATTATTATTATTTTTAGTAGAGACAGGGTTTCACCATGTTAGCCAGGATGGTTTCAATCTCCTGACCTTGTGATCCGCCCACTTCAGCCTCCCAAAGTGCTGGGATTACAGGCGTGAGCCACCATGCCCGGCCTGTTTTATTTTGTTTTTTTTTGTTGTTGTTGTTGTTTTCTTTAGTAGAGACAGGGTTTCTCCATGTTGGTCATGCTGGTCTTGAACTCCCGACCTCAGGTGATCTGCCCGCCTCAGCCTCCCAAAGTGCTGGGATTACAGGTGTGAGCCACCATGCACAGCCGACCCTTCTGTCTTTAACATGCCCTCTTATAACTTCATACCTTCAAAACCCTCGCTGACCGGGCATGGTGGCTCATGCCTGTAATCCCAGCACTTTGGGAGGCAGAGACGGGTGGATCACAAGGTCAGGAGTTCGAGATCAGCCTGGCCAAAATGGTGAAACCCCATCTCTACTAAAAATACAAAAAATTAGCTGGGCGTGGTGTTGGGTGCCTGTAATCCCAGCTACTTGGGAGGCTGAGGCAGGAGAATCACTTGAACCGGGGAGGCAGAGGTTGCAGTGAACCAAGATCGTGCCACTGCACTCTAGCCTGGGTGACAGAGCAAAACTCTGTCTCAAAAAAAAAAAAAAAAAAAAAAACAAAAAACCCTACCTATATACCCTCACACCATACACATAAACCAAGCACCTGGAAACTCCACACCTTTCACACACTGCTACTCCCCTCACACACCCACACCATCACGTATGCCCTAAATGCACATCCCTTGCTCCAACAAAACACCCCTCAACTCACGCCCACCCTAAGTCTCTGAGTAAACCCCACTCTCCCCATTGAAATTCTCTCCCCACCTGCCTTCCTCGCTCTCTCCATTCCCACCTGGCTTCTCCTTTCTCCTGGGAGGCTTCAGGCAGACCAGCCTCAGCAGAAGCAGCTCAGACTGGTGGGTGGGCCTGGCAGGCTAAGAAGGAGAGGAGGGGCTGGGCCAGAGAGTCCTCCCATTCCTGCCCCCTCCCACAAGCCTCCTCCTTAGCTCCAGCAGGGTCAGCTCAGTAGGGTCAAGTCCCACCACCCTCATCCCCGCCCCAGCAAAGGGCTCCCTAGAAGTATCTTTCCAACCCTCTGAGGCCCCTATTTCTGGACTCCCCAGATCAGAAGCTACGAGCTCTGTAACACCACCAGTACCCCCTTCAACCCGACACAGACTAGGGGAGAGTTAGGGGGCAGAGAAACAGCTGCAGGGAACAAAGCAGGTCAGGTTATGGGAGAAAAAGCAAGATCAGCTGAGGAAAGCTAGAAGGGCAAGTCGTCACAAAGGGGCAGGGGGGCAGCCCAGGGCACCAAGGGGAAAACTGCCCCCCTCTCTTGAGGACATTTGTTAGGGCTTAGGGGGAGCAGAATTGAGTCAGCCACCACCTCCCATGCCAGAGCAGACAGGGCCCTATTGTCTCAGCCAAAATTCCTTCTTTCAAGGAAGAGGAGGCTCATTGTCCAGCCCTACACCCAGCTCTGGCCCACAAAGCTCAAAAGGGGCACAAAAAATGCCCACACTGACCCTCTGCCCCCTCGTCTAGCCTGGGGGTGGCAGGCGCATTCCACCCATGAGGCTGAGGCCCAAACCACTGGAGCCCTGAGCTTAACCCCCCAGTCTTGGGGACTGGGAGAGGAAAATAATTGTCTTCAGCAGGAAAGAACCCACAGAGAATCAGGAACCCACAAAGAATGGGCATTGAGAGAGAGCGGAAACACCAAGGGGGTCCCCACCCTAGACCAGGCATCTGGGCACCCAGGCCTCAGGCTCCGTCCCCACCCTCTTTGCGGAGCCAGGTCCCCTCCACCTGGAAATGAGCCACATCACACTGAGGAAATGGAACTTTATTTCCATAAATACAGGGGTTACACCCATTCAAGGGTAGTTAAAAGAGGGCCTGGGGCCTCAAAGAAACTGGGCTCTCCCAGGGGGGTACTCCAACACTGATCATAGGGACTGGGGGATCCCCAAACCTGAGATGGGCCTCATAGGCCACAGATATTCCCCAACACTGACACTTCAAAAATGGAACTGTCCCCATAGGGGAGCCTCAGAACCCCACTCTCATGGGTCATCTCTCTTAGGGGTCAGGAGGGCTGATGACAGGGGACTTCAGAGAAAAAAGGGAACATGGGGAGAAGAGAAGCTAAAAATGTCCTGAGTGGCCTGGAAGGAGACCCCTGTGGTGGGCAGGCGTGGGTTCTCCTCCCATACAGCCAGATACGGAGGAGCAGCAGCAGCAAAAGCAGCCACAAGTTAAAAACATGGTTTCTCAATTCCCAACTTCGGCCTTGAGAGAAAGGGAGAGCACGGAGCAATCCCCCAAATGAGAAGACATGAGGTAGGGGAGGCCTGGACTTGTCATTCACGGAGGAGCAGAGGAAGGGGGTTCTGGGAGGCCAGGTTGGTGGGGGATAATATGGGAGCAATGAGGTGGTCACAGGCACACCAAAGCCTGACATCTGCTTTCCAAGGCCACCACTTGGTCTCTGGACTGAGGAGTTCCTGGGGACCCCTGAATATATCCTCAGGAGAGCCAAGGTTCAATGCAGGTCTCATAAAGGGTACGGTTGGAGTGCCAGGCTGTGTGGGAGATCCCGGCCATCGGACACCTCACTATGGCCCCCCGGGCCAATAGAGTCTTCAACCCAAAAGAATCCCGCAGATAAACCTTCAAAGTGGTCGAAGGGGCATGGAAGCATGGAAGAGAGACATAAGGAGAGACAAAGTGAGTTACTGCTGGGATCCTGGACCTCCTCCCCACAGGGTGAACCCTTCAGCTTGGGAGTCACACAGAGGGCTCTGGAATAAGGTGGGACAGTGGATGGAAGGGAAGTAATCCCAGGGGGCTCACCAGTTGCTCCTCCATCTCCAGGACCGTCTCATTTGCATCATAGAAACCAAAGAAGCTACAAAGAGATTTGTGGGGAAGTTATCAGAAGAGCTGGAGAAAATCTGGCTAGGCGCAGTGGCACATGCCTGTAATTGCAGTACTTTGGGAGGCCAAGGCAGGCAAATCACCTGAGGCCAGGAGTTCGAGACCAGCCTGTCCAACATGGTGAAACCCCATCTCTACTAAAAATACAAAAATTAGCTGGGCATGGTGGCAGGTGCCTGTAGTCCCAGCTACCCAAGAGGCTGAGGCAGGATAATTACTTGAACCCAGGAGGTGGAGATCTCAGTAAGTTGAGATCAAGCCACTGCACTCCAGCCTGGGTGACAGAGTGGGACCCCCGTCTCAAAAAGGAAAGGAAAGGAAAAAGGAAAAGAAAAAGGAAAGGAAAAAGGAAAAAAAAAAGGAAGAAATCAAGGTGGGCCAAGGTCCCAAAGGAACCCAAGGTCTACTGGGGAGACAGGCAGCAAGGGAGGACACTCAAAAATATCTCACTGGATATAGGTACCTCATGAGGTGATACACTGAAGATACGACCTCACTTCTGTAGAAACCCCATCAAAAATGCATTACTGGCCAGGCGAGATGGCTCACACCTGTAATCCTAGCACTTTGGGAGGTCAAGGCCGGCAGATCACCTGAGGTCGGGAGTTCAAGACCAGCCTGGCCAACATGGCGAAACCCCATCTCTACTAAAAATACAAAATTAGTTGGGTGTGGTGGTTCAAGCCTGTAATCCCATCACTTAGGGAGGCCGAGGAGGGTGGATCACCTGAGGTCAGGAATTCGAAACCAGCCTGGCCAACGTGGAGAAACCCTGTCTCTACTAAAAATACAGAATTAGCTGAGCCTGGTGGCGGGCGCCTGTAATCCCAGTCACTCGGGAGGCAGAGGCAGGAGAATTGCTTGATTCTGGGAGGCAGAGGTTGCAGTGAGCCGGGATCGCGCCACTGCACTCCTGCCTGGATGACAGAGTGAGACTCCATCTCAAAAAAAAAAAAAAAAGATTACCTAAGCATGAGGAAATATCCAACCCACACTGAGGGAAATTCTACACAACAGCTGATCAGTATGCTTCAAAAATATCAATGTCATATTAATGTCATGGACAAAGACTAAAAACCATTCCAGATTAAAAGATACTAAAGAGGCCTGGTACAGTGGCTCATGCCTATAATCCCAGCACTTTGGGAGACCGAGGTGGGCAGATCACCTGAGGTCAGCAGTTCGAGACCAGCCTGGCCAACATGGTAAAACCCCATCTCTACTAAAAATACAAAAATTAGCTGGGTGTGGTGGCGTATGCCTGTGATCCCAGCTACTCGGGAGGCTGAGGCACACTTGAACTTGGGAGACAGAGGTTGCAGTGAGCTGAGATCGCGCCACTGCACTCCAGCCTGGGAGACAGAGTGAGACTTTGTCTCAAGACAAAAAAAAAAAAGGCCGGGTGTGGTGGCTCATGCCTGTAATCCCAGCACTTTGGGAGGCCGAGGAGGGTGGATCACCTGAGGTCAGGAGTTTGAGACCAGCCTGGCCAACATGGAGAAATCCTGTCTCTACTAAAAATATAAAATTAGTTGGGCATGGTGGCGGGCACCTGTAATCCCAGCTACTCGGGAGGCTCAGGCAGGAGAATCACTTGAACCTGGGAGGTGGAGGTTGCAGTGGCCCGAGATTGTGCCATTGCACTCCAGCCTGGGCAACAAGAGCAAAACTCAGACTCAATAAAAAAAAAAAAAAGATACTAAAGAGACATGACAGGATCATGCAACTCAAGATCCTGATTAGGATCTTCCACTGGATATTTTTTTTTTCTATAAGGACAGTTGGAAAATTTTGAATAATCTGTGAGCGCATATTCAGGCAATATGAATCTATGTTTATTTTTAAACACAACATTAAAATAAATATATAAATGTATATATATTGAGAAAAAAAGATACTAATGTAAACATGACAAAATGTTAACATTTGAGAAATGTAGGTGAGGAGTATACATGTCTGCTTTTTGCTATTTTGGTAACTTTTTTTTTTTTTTTTTGAGACAGGGTCTTATTCTTGTCACCCAGGCTGGAGTGCAATGGCAAGATCTCGGCTCACTGCAGCCTTGACCTCCCAGGCTCAAGCGATTCTCGCACCTCAGGCTCCTGAGTAGCTGGGACTACAAAGGCACACCACCACGCCCAGCTAATTTTTGTATTTTAGGTAAAGACAGGGTTTTGCCATGTTGCCCAGGCTGGTCTCAAACCCCTGGGCTCACACCTTGGCCTCCCAAAGTGCTAGGATTACAGGCGCAAACTTCTCAAGTATGAAATTATTTCAAAACAAAAAGGTCTTAAAATCTCTCTTTTTTTTTTTTTTTGAGATGGAGTCTTGCTTTGTCCCCCAGGCTGGAGTGCAGTGGCACCCTTTCGGCTCATTGTAACCTTCACCTCCCAGTTTCAAGCAATTCTCCTGCCTCAGCCTCCTGAGTAGCTGGAACTACGGGCATGTGCCACCATGCCCAGCTACTTTTTGTATTTTTAGTAGAGACGGGGCTTCTCCACATTGCCCAGCTGTTCTCAAACTCCTGACCTCAGGTGATCCACCCGCCTCGGCTTCCCAAAGTGCTGGGATTACAGGCGTGAGCCACCGCGCCCAGCCAGATGGAGTTAAAATCTTTTAATTAAAAAATATTGGCCGGGCGCGGTGGCTCACACCTGTAATCCTAGCACTTTGGGAGGCCGAGGCGGGCGGATCACAAGGTCAGGAGATCGAGACCACGGTGAAACACCGTCTCTACTAAAAATACAAAAAATTAGCCGGGCGCGGTAGTGGGCGCCTGTAGTCCCAGCTACTCAGGAGGCTGAGGCAGGAGAATGGTGTGAATCCGGGAGGCGGAGCTTGCAGTGAGCCGAGATGGTGCCACTGCACTCCAGCCTGGGGGACACAGCCAGACTCCGTCTCAAAAAAAAAAAAAAAAAAAAAAAAAAATTGGCCGGGCAAGGCCGGGCATGGGGGCCATACTTTCT